CCACCCCCGGCTGCTCTCCCAGGGCAGAGTAAGGAAGCAAATATGCTGGAAACAACTCCTGGGAATGGCTGAGTCCTTTTCCCAATGCCCAGATCCCACCAGTTCTGGTTCCCACCATGGCTGGGCCCCCCTGAAGCTGCTGGGATGAAGGGATGGGTTTTAGCAGCAGGTTTGTCTCCTCAGCTCACACACAAAGCACTTGGGAACACGGGGATGGGGTTGGGGATGGGATTGGGGCTGGGATCGGGGATGCCTTTGGCTGTGCCTGTCCTTCCTCTTCTGCCACCAACAGACTTCCCTCTCCCACCAGCTCCACCTCCTACAGCCTGTCCTTCCAAATATCTCCCAACAAATGCCTTGTTCCAGGGTGGGGCTGGAGCCCCCTCTCTGTGGGAGGTGTCCCTGCCCAGGGAAGAAGTCGGGACTGGATGGGATTTACGGTCCCTTCCCGACCCAAACCATCCCAGGATTCTATAATTCCTCCTTCCCCGCAGCTCTCAAGGGAGAATAATTTAATTTAGACGGAGGCAAAAGAGCAAGGTAAAGCTTGGCCTGGCTGGAAAGGCTCAGCTCCAGGTTTAGGAGGGCTCGTGGCTGATGGAAAGCTCTGGTTTAAACAGATGCAGCTTCTCTGGTGAGGTCATTGCTCTGTCTCCTTTTTGGGCACCCCTGCCTGGAGGACACCCTTCAGTTCAGTCCTTTCCAGTGCCCATTGGAGCTCTATTTCAGTGGATGTAACCCCAGGCATTTTGGAAACCCGGCTCACACTAATCCCACCCATCCCAAACATTTTAATCCCGTGCCTTTTTCTGGCCAAGTGTCTCTCACCTCCTAAATCCCCACTGCTCCCAATACAAAATGATGTTGTCACTCCTGGAGCATTTCAGGAGAGGAAATTGCCCCTCAGACCATCTCCTACCTCTGGATTTCTGCTTTGGGCTCCTGCCGTGCTCTTGATCCGAAGGAAAAAGCCACCCTGAAATCCCAGGAAGGTTTTGGGAACGAGGAGTTGATTTATTTAAATTTATTTCAATCGTTGCCCTTTTCCTGTGCGGAATTTACAGGTGAAACCCACTCCATGGAAATCCACAGGCATTTATCTGGGGGTTGATTTTCCCAGGGTCAGGATTTCATCCCAAAAGGATGCACATTCCGGGTTCTCAAGCTGAGTTTGTTCTAATTTACCACTTTTTTTCAGGTGAGATAAAAGGGAAAAGTGCCAGTGGGGGGTGAAGGAGAAGAGAAAGTTGTAGTGACACTTTTACACCCTCCCATTTGCTGACTCAAGACTCCCCTAATCAGAAGAAATCCTAATTAGGCAATAATTGATCTGCCTGAAAAGCAGCAGGTTTACGAGGTTCCCTCATCGCCCCTGATCAGCTGGGGCAGCTCTTCCACAACTTCTCCTCTTGTTCCTGGGTCCTGCCAAACCCTCAGCTCATTTCCAGCCCTTCCCTGCCCCAAAGTCCTGGAAATCTGTTCTGAATGAGGACAAAGCTCATCGGGCTAATCATGGAATTAGGGAATTTGTTGGACTGGAAAAGACCTCTGGGATCAGCAGCTCCAACCTGGCCCAAGATGCAGGAGCTGCATGAGCAGGTGAGATTATGGCATGACCCAGGAATATTGAATGGGGAACCAGAGAAAGGGAAGGTTGTGTCAGCTCTGCAGGTCAAACTGACTCGAGATCTTTGAGTTCAGCTGCAGGATGAAATCCTGGGCCAAGGTTTGCAAACCTTTCCCTGCTCCTGGGAAAGGTTTCACAGGAACCTGCTTTGATATTTCTTTTAATGTGTGTGTCCCCCCCCCCGTGACGCTTTTCCCCCCACTTGTCTCCCAAATACTGGCCAAATGTTGGTGTTGTTTTGAACTTTGGGTGGGGTGAGGCTGGCTGGAGGCAGTGGGAAAACTTGGTGGGTCTGGGTTCACCAGAAGAAGGAGAGAAAAGAGGGAAGGGATAAGGAAAGGGAAAGGATGAGGGAAGGGAAGGGGAAGAAAAGGAAAGGAAAATCCCTGGCAATCCCTGGCCAAGTGCTGCAGTGTGTGGCAGTGGCAGAGGAGGCTGATCAGGACAGGAGTGGTTCCTGTGCCAGTTGGTGCCCTGGACAGGAGTAATTCCTGTGCCAGTTGGTGCCCTGGCCAGGAGTGGTTCCTGTGCCAGCTGGAGCCCTGGGTGCTGGGAGGGAGCCCAGCCCAGCCCAGCCCAGCCTGGCAGTCTCTCCTCAGTGTTTCTCAGCAGCAGCTGAAGCTGTGCCCGTGCCATGGGGCACATCCCACCTGAGCTGGCTCGGTTCCCTGCGTGCCAACCAGTACCAGCCAGGGCTGGGGGAAAGGCAGGGGGTGTTTTCCTTGCTCTCTGTGCCCTTTGCTTCCCCTCCCAGCCCGAAGGTTGTCAGAGAAGTGAAGGAAGAGGGGACATGAGCCACAGGTTCCCACGGCAGGTTGGTTTGCACCAAACTCAGGGGCACCAAGGGGTGGAAAGAACACCTGGAAAGGCTTCACAGATTCCTAAACATCTTACTCCTCAAGTGATTCCTCTCATTTCGTGCAATCCTGTCTCAGGTGAGAGCCACTGACCCCAGTGAGAGGATCAGGAGTGTCAGGGGATGGATTGATCCCTCTGCTCATCAAACATTCTTGAAGCTTTTGAGGTGGAAAGTGCAGAAAAATCAGTCAGTGAGGGAAAAAAAGAAAAAAAAGAGAACCCAACCTATAAATGAGGTTTCTTAACCTTTTGATCCGTCAGAACCTGAAGTGAAAAGTTTTAATCCAGATATTGAGTTTGACAAGACAGTAAACAGGAAGAAAAATTTGGAGATCTTCCCTCTTGGTGTGTTTTTATAGTTTAAAAAGTGGGAAATTCTTCCCAGTGCCGTGGATGTTCCGTGACCTTCAGCTGATTGCCCATAAACAGATAAACAGAGCCAACCCCTGGCTGGAGAATTGGATTTTGGGAGACCTTTGTGAACTCTTGGCTCCAAAATGTATCAGACAAGAGGCAGCAGAGCTGAGGAATGGTGGGGAATAGGACAAGACATGATCTCATCTGAACCAAGACCAAGCAGGGGAGAGGAGGTGTAAAAACATTTGTCTGCAAAGCAGAAAGGACCAAACTGCTGCCAAAAGTCCTCCTGAAGAAATAAAAGGCTGAGGAGGATCAAAGAGCTCTGTGCCCATCTGGAAAAGAGGGAGATCAAGGGGAAAGGACTCAGGAGGAACAGGAGGTTGTGGTGCTGTGGGTGGGAGGCAAAAGGAGATGAACCCTCCAGGGTGGGATTCCCATCCAATCCCAACGTCTTGGCGGGGCTGGAGAAGGGGACACTCATCCAAAAGATGAGCAGGGAGATTCCATGAATCCATGAGTTCTGTGCCAGCCCAGCAGGCCTGGAGAGGTGAGAGGGACTGCAGGACTCCTGGGTAATGCCAGAGGTTCTGCAGGGTGAGAGGAAAAGGGGCACAAATCCGACACCAGGGAGGAGGGAAACTGGGAAAATCCAGGCCAGCAGCTCCTCTGCACCTCTACCTCCTCCTTGGGATGGACCTGAGGAAGCCTTTTTGCCTGTCTTTGCCAGGCTGGAGTGACCTGGGCTGGGGAAAGGTGTCCCGGCCCATGGATGAGATGGCCTTTAAGGTCCCTTCCAACCCAAACCATTCCAGGCTGATTCCAGGACAGTGATTCCATGACGTGTTTGCTGCCCCCACCCCCAAGGCTCTCTCTGCTCCAGGATCCCACGTTGGATCTGACCCAGGATGGGCACAAGCCCTGAGGTGGCTGCAGGGTTTGGTCATTGGATGAATGGTGAAAATCCATCCAAAACTCTCCATGTTTCGGCTTCCTGAGCCCTTTTGGGAAATCAGAGGGGAGAGGAACTGTCCTCCCAGGTGGATCCAGACCCTTGCATGGGGAGAAACTCCCCTTGAGGAATGTCCTCAGCTCCTGGTGATGGAGGGAGGGAAGGGGCTGCTCTGAACCCAAAGGCTCTGCCCTCTGCTCCTCCTTCCAGAACAAATCCCAACCATGAATTGGGGTTTATTCTCTGTTTTGAGACACCACAGGTCTGATTTTTTTCCTCACTAAAATCAGGGAAGGATGACCTTGGATCTCTAGTTGATAGTCCTGATCCAAACCCTCAAATCAGGAGTTTGGGATCAGCCCAGGAATGGCAGGAACAGGCTTTGCCAAACATGTTCTGCTGTGCCTGGATATCACTTTTTGGTTTGGTATCAGCATTCCCTCAATTTTTGCAGGAATATTGTTCACTCACATAATTCTCCCCTCAAAAAATCTATTATTCATGATTTGCAATTAAAAAAGGCTTAAAAAAAATTATTTCTCCCCCTGTACATCCCTCGTGTCTGTAAATTTATCTGTGTCCAACAGGAGTTTTCAGACATTTATTCTAAATAACCCAGTGCCAAACTCATTGCAGAGAGGGCTGGGTTTGATGAGGGTGTTGGATTTGTTTATAAATAATTTCATGGCTTTTGCTAATTCCTTCAACTGTGCTGAGTGATTGTCAAACACGTTCTTAATCCTGAGTTCTCAGTGACAAACACAAGCAAACACTGAGTCAGTGCTTGGAGGGTTTTTGGTCTTTTTTTTCTTTGTTCCAGTGGTGAAATGATAACCAAGACATTTTTTTTTGAGTGAGAAAAAAACGGGAAGGGGAGAATGGGAGAGCATGAAAAGAGATCAGTCGTTGAAAATTTACATTTCAACAGCTGCCATTTGGTGGGAAATGGTTGTGATGGGATTTGACTTGTGAAATTGGACAAGAACATCACAAATAAATCCTGGCTTTTAAAGAGCTCTTTGACAGGACAAGGGGAAGCGGCCTCCAGCTGGGCCAGAGGAGGCTCAGGTTGGACATTAGCTGGAATTTCTCCCTGGAAAGGGTGGTCAGGCCTTGGCAGGGGCTGCCCAGGGAGGTTTGGAGTGCCCAGCCCTGGAGGTGTCCCAGGAAGGCCTGGATGTGGCACTCAGTGCTCTGGGCTGGGGGACAAGGTGGGCATCGGGCACAGGGGGGACTCGGGGACCTTGGAGGGCTTTTCCAACCCCAATGATTCCATGATTCCGTGATTTGTGACCTGCTCATCCCCCTCGTCCCCCAGCAGGTCTGAATCCCAAGCTCAGAGACGTCCAGGGGAGGAGATTTTCCCCTTGATTTCCCTGGGCTTTACCCAGGCCCAAGCTGGGAGGTTGTTGAAGGAGCTGTGGGACACAGGTCAAGATCCCAGCTCCTCTTCCTGCCTTCCTTCAGAGTCTGGGGGAAGTCAGCCCTTCATTTCCCTCTGCAGACCAGCTGGTTGCATGGACTGGATGCACCTCAGGAGTTCTGGTTGATGTGACCCAACAACTATATCACAGGATCAGAACAGAGAGAGCAGATTCTCCCATTTTCCTCACCTTCCCAAACTTCCCCAATACCTCTTTCCTATTCCACTGGAGTAAAAGTGGTCAAAATGCTTCAGTTCCCAGAAACCTGCCAAGAAGGAAAGGAAGAAATAAGGACAAAAAGCCCCCTGAGGAGCTGAGTCTTGGACTGGAGCAAAGGAATGGTGGTGGTGGGACACAGGCTGGAAAGAGGGGCCAGGTTGGCTCAGCAGAACTTGCTGCAGTGGGAATTTTGGTGGCTGTTCCTAATTTCTCCCTCCTGACCAGTTCTGCATCACAGCTGGGAACAGGCAGAGCCCCTTCCCTGGAGGATCAGCCCCAGCACAACTCACTGGTGGCCAACAGGACTTCAGCCCTTCGTTGCTGCTGGAGATCCACCAGGGAACAACCTCTGGGGACCCTCGGCCAAAGCACCAACGAGGGAAACTCTGCCCAGGGACAAAACCCTGCTGGTCTCCCTCTCCCGAAGGAAGGAGACACTTCCTTGTGCTATTCCCTTTGGAGGCACCCACAGTAGGATCTCCTCATCTCAGCATCTCCAGGCAAAGACAGTGCCTTTGGTTGGAGTTGACCCCAACTAAAAGTGTGACCTGGTGTCCAGTTGTGTGGGACCAAAACACAAAGAACAGGGAAGCTCAGAAGGTGACCACCCAGGAGCAATCACTGTGCTTTTATCCAAGAAATTTTGCCTTTGGATCTCATGAAGGTGGGTTTGTCTGGCTGTATCCCACAGTTTGTGCTTCTGGGGGATACAGGCAGAAGGCTGATGGAGTCTTTCTCCTCAGGAGGGTTTGGACCAGTTGTCCAGGGAAGCTGTGGCTGCCCCATCCCTGAAAGTGTTCCAGGCCAGGGTGGAGCAACCTGGGAGAGTGGAAGGTGTCCCTGCCCATGGCAGGGGGTGGCACTGGATTGATCTTTAATGTCCCTTCCAACCCAAAGCGTCCTGGGATTTTATGATTCAGTGGATCGGGGTTTTCGGGGAACAGAATGAGGAGCAATTAAGAGGTTTAAAAATGAAGCTTCTTTCCATGAACTCCCCAAAAAGGGAGGGCTGAGTCAGGTCCCTTCTGAACTGATTTTAGCCACAGCCCCCCCCCCCCTCCCAGATCTGTGAATTCCCTGCCCTTGGAAGGCCCCTCTCCATCTCTGCTGCGTCTGGAAGAGCGGAAACGTCGTGTATTCTGAGAACCACATTTTCCATCCTGAATTCCCACCGGTTCCTGTCTTGCTACCGGGACTCGGGGAGAGGAAGGAGGGTTTTCTGCCTGGATCCTGCAGCCCCGAGCTGCGAACCCTCCCCAGCCCCGAGGAGCACTTTGCCGAGGAGATTCCCCGAGGGAAGGACGGCGCGCGACGGGTCGGAGGGAGCAGGACCTTGGGCCGAGTGCCCACCCCGGGGGTGGTGCCAGGCAGGCCCTGTGGGCAGAGGGCAAACCAGACTGAAAGGGGGGTGCCCGGGGTGGACGCACCCCCTCGAGGTGATGGCACTGCACCCTCCCTGCGAGCCCCCGGGGAGCCTCCCGTCCTCCTCGGCCGCCCGCGCTCTCCGAGAGCTCCGAGGAATCCCGGGGTGCTTCCCAGCCCTCCCTGGGCAGCTCCCGGTGTCTCTGTGGTCCCGGGAACACCAGGGACACGTGGATCACTGAGTCCAGGGCTGGGATCCACCTTGGTGGCCCCGCTTGTTTCTCCCACATAACTTAACCTCCGGTTCCACAGAACGGGGAAACTCCATGGAAACCCTCGGCATTCCACGCACAGCCCGATGTTCCGTCACCCACTAAATGCTCTCCAGGAACCTTTTTCCATCCTTTGGCTTCTTTTTTTTGCTTGTTTTCCCCCTCCTCCCTTTACATCACTGTCTCTCTCTCCTCCTCCACGAGCGCCGTGGGTCTGTCCCCGTCGTAAAGGCCGGAGCCGTTGAGATATTCCTCATCCTTGTTGTACTGCTCCGGCCCGGAGGAAGGCATGGAATTCTCGGAAATGGAGCCGTTTTTCACGTAACCTGGCAAATTCCGGTGTCCGTTGAGGGTCCCTGGGATAAGTCTCGTGTTGAGATGGAGGGCAAGCGCTCCTCTTGTGGCTACATTTGTGATGCTGGTGTGGGACACCATTGGTCCGTAACTGTAGGTTGTGCTCCCACTTCGTGCTTTCCTTTTAAAGTCAAGGGCTAAAGTCCACCTGCTCCATGACTTCTTGATTTCTGCTTGGACCTGGGGGAAAAGGCAGGGAAAAAACAAGCGTGAGAGGGAGGAGAGAGGGGCAGGAAGGAGGTGGGATCCACAGGCAGAGTTGGGCTTTGATGATCCTTGTGGGTCCCTTCCAGCTCGGGAGGGTCAGTGATTCTATGGGATTGGAAGGAACAGCAAATTCACCTTAAATCTCTCCTTCCCACGTGGAATATTTGGCGCTGGGAAGCTTGAGTGGCTGGAAACATCTGGCTGAAAATGGGGGTGAACTCTGTCCAAGAGCAAACCCAGGAGAGAATCCCCTCATGTACCACGAAATCAGGGAAAAATGGGATGAACAACCTCCAGAGGCACCTGAGTGCCCAGAAATTCCTCTAGGAAGGAGTTAACTATTTTAGAATTAATCTATTACTGTAGACTGAGACTGCTTTAGACTGAATCTAAACCAGATGGCTAAAGCTGGGATGAGATGAATTCCCCTCACGGTACAGATTTTGCCTTGTTTTAATCTTCATATTTGAAGTTACGTTTCCCCTTAAAATCTCCAAATTTAGGACAAACCAGCTTTATGCCAGTCCATGAAAGTCCTTTCCCATCTAGTTCCTTAATCTGCAGCAATGGAGGGAATTAATGGAAATGAAGAAATCAAAGGATATTGCTCTGGAAATAGGAAAAAAAAAAAGGGTCAAAAGGCCCTGGACAATCCAAAGAATTTTCTGGTCAGGCAGCTACTCCACCAATCCACTTTTCTTCCTGCCACAGAGCTGAACTTAAGCAGCACTAACCAGCCCTGGTGCTGGGAAATGATAAACCCCCCACATTTTGATCTCCATTAGGTACTTCCAGCAGGTCATTTTTGGGGACATATTGACCTGGGTGTCTCAGACCAACAAAAGTGGGGCCTGAGAGACCTTGGAGTGCCAAACAGGGCTGGGGCACTCTAAGGAGTGAAGAGGTGCTGATGTTCATCCACCTGTGTGTGGAACTGTCCTAAAAAGGGAGGAGAATCCCGAGGATGTTGGTGACTTACCTCTCCATTGCAAAAACAGTATATGATGGCAACAAAAAATCCCTGAAAGGAAGAAAAACCAACGTGTTAGTGGGGATTTGGCTGCGTGGGAGCTTCTCTTTCCTGCTCTTTTCACCCCCAGGTTCCTCTGGAAGGAGCAACACTCAGCATTTGCTGTGTAAAATTGGCACAGTAGACCTGGGGGTCCTGGGGGACAGGGAGGACCCGGGGTATAGGGGTGGGGTGCATTGGGAAGAGCGTTCCCAGCAGGTCAGGGAGGGGATCCTGCCCCTCTGCTCAGCCCTGGGGAGGCCCATCTGGATGCTGTGTCCAGTTTGGGCTCCTCAGCGCAGCAGGGACATGGAGCTCCTGGAAGATGATTCTCCTGTGGAGGTGCTGAAGGGATGGAGCATCTCTGTGACCGGGACAGGCTGAGGGAGCTGGGGCTGTTCAGCCTCCAGAGGGGACACTGAGAGGGGACCTCCCCAGGGTCCGTCAGGGGCTGCAGGGAGGGGGCACAGGATGGACCAGGCTCTGCTCGGGGGGGCCCAGCAATGGCACAGCAGGAACGGGCAGGAACTGATGCCCGGGAAGTTCCACCTGGACACGAGGAAGAACTTGTTCCTGTGCGGTGACCGAGCACTGAACAGATTGTCCAGGCAGGGGGTGGAGTCTCCTCCCTGGGGATTCCAGAACCATCAGGACACAATCCTGTGCCATGTGCTCTGGGATGGCCCTTGCTGGGGCAGGGAGGTGGCACTAGATGCCCCACTGTGGTCCCTCCTGGGACCCTGTGACCCTCTGGGCCATGGTTTAGTGAGCAGGGCTATTTTTGGATCTTCTGCAGGGCTTCTGGGATGGTGGGGGGGCCCTGGGAACACGGGGAGTTCTGCCTCGCTGAAGGTGTTTAGGAACTTCCTGGATGTAATTCCCAGTGTTTTATGTGTGGCCGATGCTCCTGGAGGGTGGGAGGGAGGGTGGAAGATGGTCCCGAGGGGCCTTTGCCAGCTCTGGCTGTGACTGGAGCAGAACTGGCTGAGTGAGACCAGCGAAGGAGTCCAGCTGGGATTGGCCAACACTTTTGGGTTGGCCAACACTTCCCCCAGCTCTTGCTGAGTGTTTTATCCCATCCAACAGGAACTGTGGAAGTGCAGGAATGCAGGTTTGGGCTCCAACTCCCTGCCAATTTCTCTGGACCCTCTGTCCACCCTTCATCATCCACTCTGGTCACCCATGACCACAGGAGAGCCAAAAGTTAACCTCTCAGTGGTGATCAAACGCTGCTCTCTTGCAGAGTTGCTAATTCCTGCTGCTGTGTCTTCCATAGGACCATTCCTAAAACTAAACCTCCCTTTTTTCCAGGAACTGAGGAATCCACTCAGCACTGAGAGACAACTTGGGGCAGGAAAATTGGAAGGTAATTTAAAACAACATCTCTGTGGATCTCCACCAGCTCGTGTCTCACCTGGGTCTAAAGGGGTTTATTTTGTGGGGCAGTTACCTTTCAACAGGACCATTTTTTTTGTTGGACACACTGAGCCTTTATAAATACAAATCACAGAAATATTGTGCTTTGAAAAGAGAAAATAATTTTCAAATATTTTATAATCTTTATATTATAAAGATGATTATAATATTTATGTTATAAAATTACATCTATTAAAATACTGTCAATCACTGTGTATTGTAAAAGCAGCCCTGCTTCCAGAGGCAGCTTGCACTCCCATTTCCCCCTTCTCCCCATTGAAATCCTCGTGGTTTCCCCCATAATTCCCCAGTGCCAGTACCTGGAAAGAGTTGAACAGCATTTCATAGTGCATTTGAACTTGCCAAAGAATCCCTGACACGTCTGTGTATGGCATAGCCATGAAAACAATATAGTGAACTCCAAACAGAGGCATAAGGACGAGGGTAGATTTCAGCAGCTTCCTGTGGGCACAGGAAAAGAGAGGGGATTAGTGGAGGGGGGGAACAGGAGCCCTGGTTAGGCTTGGACAGCTCCTGTTCCCACAGGAATTGGGGCCACCTGGAATTTCAAGCTGTTCCTTCTCTTATGGCCTGTGAGACAACCCCTGTCCTGATGGGCCACCTCAACCCCCTCCCAGGGGATGCTGCTGAAGGTGAAGGCACAGAAGGGTCTTTTCCAGCCTCAGACTTTCTCCAGGATCATGGGTGGAGGGTGGGAGGGTGGCTGGAAAGGAATGTGTGCTGCTCTTCCAGCCCTCAGCCCTGACTGGGATCAAATCCTTGTCCATAAAGGATGTTCTCCTTCACCCTCAGTCTCCAACTAGCTTCAAATCCTTGTCCATAAAGGATGTTCTTCTTCCCCTCAGCCCCTGACTGGCATTAAATCCTTGTCCCTAAAGGATGTTCTCCTTTTCCTCAGCCCCTGACTGGCATCAAATCCTTGTCCATAAAGGATGTTCTCCTTCATTTTATACCTGGACATGATCCTACACAACCTGCAGGAGGTTGAGCAGGGAGGGTTGGACTGGATGATCTCCAGAGGGCACCTTCAATCTCAATTTTCCTGCTTGTTGAGGCACACCATGGACATCCCCCCTGGGTCAGTGGCAGGGCTGGTGGAGAGGGAAGTGCATTTGGGAGCAGAGTTATTCCAGCTGTCTGAGGGAAGAGGACAGTGCCCTGTGGGGTTGGAAGGTGGACACCCTCAGGAGGTGCTCTGGGCTGCAAGATCACTTGGAAAACCTCCTGCTAAAGAAGCAACTGAATCTCAGCACGTGCTGGGGACTGGGGGGAGGCTCCACACAGCCCAAGCACTTGGCTGGGTTTGCTCCTTGGGGAATCAGTGACATTAATTGAAGGGTTAAACCCTCTGCCAAGAGTTCCAGCAGGTCACCAGGAGCAGCAATTCTTGACAGGGGCAAACCTCCCCCCCAGAAAGGGCTGGTAGGGCCTCTGTCCAGCAACTGCAAACCCCCGAGGGAACCGGACACTTCCGAAGGAGAAGCCCCATCCAAAGCATGATTAACAGCAACTTTCAGCCAGGGAGAAGTAAATAAACAGATAAATCAGAGCCCTGACAGGGCAGCAAAAAAAAAAAAAATAAAAAATAGAGAGGTGTTTTCCTGCCAAAATGTCCTTTCCTGCCTCCAAGGAAACAGGGGGGGTTTCGGAGGGGGAGGCGGCGGCAACGAGCTCATGGTTTGCAGCCCCCATCACTCTGCTCTCCCCCTTTTCCATGGGTCGTGTTGGTCAGTCCTGGATGTTCTGGGAAGCCCTGGGAGCTCTCAAGCACCAGAGGCGTCTCAGCAATCTGTTTGTTCCGTCTGGTTTTGACCACGCCGCAAATAACCCAAATTATCAGGAGAGAAGAGCTGGCGGAACACGGGAAAACACAACACAACAAACGAGGGAACGGCAGCAAAGAGGCAGGAATGTCTTGGTCATCTCAGCAAAGGCACCAAACACCCGCTGAAGGGCAGATTTAACAGACAGACCAAATTTCACAAAGCACAGGAGGGAAACAAATGGAAATGAGGCAACGGATACACGTTTTAGGGGCTTCAACAACATTAAAAGGGCTTTAATTTCTGCACTTTTGGCTCAAGAGCAGCACAGTCACTTCTACACCGGCTGAAGAGCTTGAATTCCTCTCTAACCTATGAGGCAGGTCCTCCAGGTTGCACTGGAAGGGCTGAGGAGATGTTTAAACTGTTGACTCGTTCTGCAGCACCAGACTTGGGGGACAAAATCCTCCCCACCCCGTTTGAGGTGGCTGCAGCCCCCGGGAACTGCTCACCCCGGGCTTCCTCTGAAGCCAGGGCGGTGAAATGAGGGCTTTGTCCTCGCCCCAAAAAGCGCAGCTGACACAGGTTACTTTTGTAGGGAACCATGGATGGAACTGCCTTTGCTAGTGTGGATTCCAATCCGAGTTTGACAGCAGCACAGATGGTTGGCCAGGCTGATATGCTCCTACCACCTTCTAAAATTTAACTTCATAGCTACACTTTTCCTTAATTAAAGGTGTAGCCAGAGGTTGGACAGGCACATGTACACCACAGAATCAGTCCGTGGAGGTGACAGAATTACCCTCACAAAATAGTCCAGTCTTTTTTTGTTCACAGCGTGCGAGATGAGAGTTTTCCCAACACGCTCGGGGAAAAATAACGCATCAAGACTCTAAGAACATCACAGAAAATGTTAATACATGAGCTTTTTCTTTTCTTTATTTGAGAGGTGACAAAAAAAAAATCACCCCCCCATTTGGCATTTCACTGGTCGCTAAATAAAGTCTTGACACTAAAAATGCATCTTTAGCAAAAAAAAAAATAAAATAATAAATCCTCTGAAAATATCAGCAAAACCACTAAATCCAATTGAAGAATTACATTCTGCAAAAACTCCTGAGAAATATCAGCCACGAATCTGAATTATAACCCCCAACTGCTGAACCACAGTAGCTGCACAGGGAAGCAGACAGAGGGTGTGTGCAAAGGGGAAAGAGGGAAAATCAGTTTACTTAAAGGAAAATTAGTTTACTTAAAGGAAAATTTAGTTTACTTAAAGGAAAATACGGACAATCAACTCTAAAATTCACATTCCTCTTACACTGTATGGCCAGATCCCACTTTTTCCCCCTGAGGGAAACAAACTTGGCAAATGTCAATAGAGTCAGTTAATTAGTTAATTAGTTAATTAATCCATTTCTAGCATGGATTTTGCAGTGGACAGGCCCCGGGACCCACCTGTACTGTTGTCTCGAGTCGCACCTCCCCGCGTTCGTCTCCCGTAGTTTGGTGGCGAGGACTCTGATAATATTGATAAAAAGAATAAAATTTACCTGCAAGGACAAAAAGAAAAAAAAAAAAAAAACAACAACAAAGAAAGGAGAGCTGTTAAAAAACACACATCCAGGTGGCGGCAGAGTTTAGTTGGTTCATTCCCCCGAGGGAGTCAAGGCAGTGGCTGTGGAGGAAGCTCCTCCTGCGGAAGGGATGAGCTTCCCGGGAATGACCTGTTTGGTGGGATTTTATCAGGGTTTACCCCTGGGAGAGAGAAAGGAACGGCTTTCTCTGACAAGGGGAGGACACCTCACATGGAAAACCCCCAAATCTGAGCCAGCCAGCCCAGCAGGCACCTGGAAACTGGGCAATTCCCGGGAAAAGACCCAAATGAAGTTATGATTTTCTCTCGCAGCCCAGCTGAGATTCAAACCTTCCCAGGACACCAGGAGCATTAGTAGGATGCCTTTCCATGTTTCCACGTGGAAAATGAAAGGAGAACAAGCCAAATGCACCGTGATGGAGACACAGAGTGGACCTGAGTGGAGGTGACAGATCAAGAGCAATGGGACTGTCAAACCTCTGCTGGGCGTCACCCCCGGCTCTTCCCTGGAGAGGGGCTGGGTGTGGGTCACACCAGGACAACCAGGGAGGAATATCTGCTTCTGATGCTGGGAGACACACCAGCTCGTGGTTAACTGCCCAACAAAGCTAATCCAGACGGTCACACCTTGGAATAGCTGCTCAGGGAAGTGGTGGGATCCCCGTCCCCGGAGGGATTTAAGAGCCCTGTGGATGTGGCACTTGGGGACGGGCTGGGAATGGTTGGGCTCAACCTCAGAGAATTTCTCCTGCCTTAATGACCCTGGGAATCCAACCTTGCCCTCCAGGCACGTGCTCCTGGTGGCCCACACGGCAAAATTGAATGGCAAAACATCTCCTGGCTCCTTAAAGGAGACGAAAACCAGGTTGACATTCCAGAGATTTTTGGGTTTTTGGAGCTCTTCGGGGGCTGGTTGCCCTGGATTCCACCTACAGCTGGCCCAGCCAACCCCCCTCATGGCACTGATGCAGCCCCACTGTGGGACTGCACCAGGCACATCCGTGTTCCCGGGCCTGGGAATTCCTCTGGAAGCTCCCAGCAGTCATTTGACCTCCCAGATGCCCCCAGAGCAGCGTTTCAAGGAACCGAAGAACCACACAGGCTTGGAATTTCATACCAGGAGGGACCATCTGTCACCCTCTGGTTTGATCTCTGGCACAGCCCAGCCCAGGGGACCTCCCTGTTTTCAGAGCAGATCTGGCTCTCCCGGGGTTTCCGTGACGGAGATCCCACCACAACCCTTGGGAAGTCATTCCAATGGATAATTATCCTTGCTGTTACAAGGAGTTCCCTGAGCTGCTGAATGAGCAGGGCCTGGTTTTGCCACGGCTTTATCTCCAGGGGTTGGATTCCTTTGCCTTTAACGAGGTGCAAGTTCATTTTTGACGAGTTCCCCTCTGGAAAAGAGGGAGGAAGCTCCTGCCACACCCTTTCCCTTGAAGGGCCACCAGGAAAATTTCTCTCTTGTATCTGTCTGACCATTTTGTGGGAATTTAACACCCAGAGATCCCTTTGGTTGAGATTTAGTGCCTGGCACAGCAGTTGTGAGGGAGGGATGGACAGACCCCCAGGCAGAGTCTGGGAGCAGATAATTCCTTTCCATTGGAAACCAATCCCAAAGGGAATAAAACCCCCAGTAGGATTTATTTCTCATATGAGTGTTTTTGGCTTCAAAGGCTCCAAAGTGAGATCTTGTTCTGGCTAAATCAAAGATGTCCAAACTCACCACAGTTAAAAGGGAAACTCCCCTGATTTCCTGAACTGTGCTAAATCTTAAAAGAAATCCAGGCAGCGGAATAACATCAAAGTCAGGAGAGGAGAGAAGGATTTTAAGCCCCTCAGCCTCCAAATTCTCTGCAAGTACATCCAGCAAATGCACAACTTACTTAGTGCAGCAACATCTGAGCTGCCAGTGAGGGAATGGAGAAAGCAGCCAAGTGAACAATGTGAACCCACAGAAGTCAACCAGAAACAAGCCACAGAATCTGTTTGCAGGATAAATGGCTGCCTTTGCAAACAGCCTCCTGCAGCAGCAGCGTTTCCACAGGGCTCAGCCTCAACGGGGCTCTTTCTGCTCTGCTAATTGGGCTTTACATGAAATGCGAGGGGGTTGCTGGAATTCATCCCCTGGAACCATCTGAACTTGCTTCTCCATCCCACCGTTTCATTCCTGGTGACCACGTTGGGGGCTGGAGGGGATCTGTTTCTTCCAAAGTGCAGAAGGAATCGGGGAGAATTTCCAGCAAAGGGGAGAAATTGAGCCCCACCCCCCAAAGCCCCAAACACCTCACTCACCTCAATTCCAGGGGAATTAAGGAAATCTGGGAAAGCAGGTTCTCCACCCCGTTGGGAGACTGCTCAGGCAAACACAAAACCGCCCCTGGATTCCCCTTGGGTGGATAATCCCATTTTATAACGAGCTCTCCGGCTTTGGAGAGCTCAGCCCTGGGTCTGGAGAACATCCCTGCATCCTTTCTGTCCCCTCTGGCTCCTGAGAGGGGTTGGAATAACCCCCCATCAGTGATTAAGGTGTCCCATCACAGTTGGGATGGTTTAACTTCCCTCCCCACCTCGGAGGCTTCCCAAGCTTTTCATCAGCTCAGCAAGATGAGTCTGGAACAATTTGATGACACTGAAACACTCCTGGAGAAAAGATTTGCTCCAGCTCCAGACCCCAGATTCCAGTTCTTCCCACTGGTGGTCAGAATGACCCCTGAGAGCTCCCAGTATGGTATGGGTTGGAAATACTGGTTTGAATTTGGTTTCATTAAGGATTTTAGGGTCAGAAAGGTGGGACTTTTTTCTCTTGAGCAAAACTTGAAGTCTCTCAAAGCCCTGTGCTGTCAAACTGTCAAACTTCCAGGCAGGTCAAAAAATAAGGCCCTTAAATTGGATATATAAAGACCCCACATTATTAAGGGTAGATTGTTATTAATTATTGGAGTAGGGAATCCTGGCTCAGCTCTTCCCATCCCACCACAGGCACTGCCTCTCCTGCCAGGAGTGGGTACTCACCACGATAGCTGCCAGGATGGGCACCTGAATAATCCATTTTAAATTGCCAGCACTCAAGTCCCAACACCTGAGGAGAGATGGATGTTCCGTCAGGAAATCAGAGGGGATGGAGAGCAACAGATCCAGTGTCTCCTGGGAGAAATCCCCCCTGGCAGGGTGGGTTCCTCCAGAGCCTGGTGTGGTGGAAGGACCTGGGTGGGTTTGGAATGGCCCTTCTCCTGCTCCAAAGCCATGGCAGGGGTGGTTTGTGCTCTCCCTTCCTTTCCACGGTCAGGAAGACCTGCCCCCTCCAGGCAGGAACCAACCCTTTTCCACTTTTTCTTCACCTCCTTACCAGGAAAAAAACTGGAGTAATCCCCCTTTCCTGGTTCATGACTTAGGAACATGGAATCCCAGAATGGTTTGGGTTGGAAGGGACATTAAAGATCATTGAGTTCCACCCCTTGCCATGGGCAGGGACACCTTCCACTAGCCCAGGTTGCTCCAACCTGGCCTTGGACACTTCCAGGGATCCAGGGGCAGCCACAGCTTCTCTGGGAATCCTGTGCCAGGGCCTCCCCACCCTCCCAGCCAGGAATTCCTCCTTAAACTCTAATCTAAACATACTCTGTGTCTTTGAAGCCGCTCCCTCTTGTCCTGTCAGTACAGTTCCTGATGAAGTTCCTCTCCAGCTTCCTTGTAGGCCCCTTGGGGTCCTGGATCCCTGCTGTGTCCCTGCTGTGTCCCTGCTGTGTCCCTGCTCCTGGCAGGGGGCTTGGACTGGATGCCCTTTAAAGATCCCTTCCAACCCCAACCACCACCCTCTGATAACCCCTTGGAATGATTCCACACACTTCAGCAGCTCCGCTAACCCATCCTTCTGAACCTGGAGCTGAAATCCCATTTGGAAAGCAGTGTCTTCCCAGGCAAAGCCATTTGGGATGTTTCCTGGGGACCCCCACGCTCCTGGGGGCTGATGGTGGGCAGATGGAACCTGCTGTGTGGTCAGACCTGGGCTTTAGGGGGGGAAGGCTGGGTTGGATGGGGCTTGGGATAGTGGGAGGTGTCCCTGCCCATGGCAGGGGGTGGAACTGGATGAGCTTTAAGGTCCCTCCCAACCCAAACATCCCGGGATCCACGTGTCCTGTGTGGAGGAGTTCCACCTTCACCCCCTCCCCAGCACCAAACCTCCTTTGGCCGTGCTGAACCTGCCGTGTCCCAAATCCCTTCCTGTTCATTCAGGACTTCAAAGACCTTGTCCCTGCCTAGCTGGGAAATGATCCCTCTTATCCCCCGGGATAACAGCTGCAGGTGTTCCCATTTCATGGCAAATCACAGAGAACCAAGGGAAAGTCAGGAACCCTTATCCTTCCTTGCCATAACAACCCCCCCACACCCCTCCCTCAAGAGTCCCATAACTCCATAGCTGACTTCTGGCTTTGCCTGGTTCCTTTTTCCCTTGGAATTCACCCACAAGCCCCACAGAAGCTTCACAAGTGAAAGGAAGAGCAGAAAACCCAGCGGGACTTACTCTGTGTCGGCGAGAGTGGCTCTCACGCTGGCCCACGCTGTGACAAATACAGCTGGGAGGCCTGCAAGGAACACAGGGCAGGGGTCAGAAGGGGGATTTGACTCCAAAAATCCAGGTGGAGGGGGGTAGAGGAAGGGCACAGGAGCAGTTTTCCAATATTCAGGCTAAGAAAGGCTCATCTCTCACATCTAAGGTCTGATCTGGTTCAGTTTTGGGCCCCTCAAGATGAGAAGGACAATCTGCCAAGGGGGTGTCTGGTGTGAGAAGGAAGAGTCTGGGAATTCTGTGTCTTGTCCTCACTGTCTTCTGTAGCCAGGGAAGATGCCTTGGAAGTGGGAATGGTGCAGAGTGGACTAAATAAGGTCTGGTGTGAGATGAGGGGTCAACACTGAGGAACATCCTCAGTTTTGGATCCCTCATGTCAAGAAGGACATGGAGGGGCTGGAGTGTGTGCAGGGAAGGGAATGGAGCTGGGAAGGGGCTGGAGCAGCTGAGGGAGCTGGGGGGGCTCAGCCTGGAGAGAAGGAGGCTCAGGGGGGACCTTCTGGCTCTGCAACCCCCTGACAGGAGGGGGGAGAAGGGTGGAATCAGTCTCTGCTCCCAGGGAACAAGGGACAGGAGGAGAGGGAATGGCCTCCAGCTGTGCCAGGGGAGGTTTGGGCTGGATATTGGGAAAATTCCTCCTGGGAAGGGCTGTCCAGCCCTGGCACAGCTGCCCAGGGGGAGTCCCCACCCCTGGAGGGTTTAAAAGCCCTGTGGATGTGGCACTTGGGGACATGGTCAGTGGTGGCCTTGGCAGTGCTGGGGATGGTTGGACTGGATGGTCTTAAAGGTCCTTTCCAAGCTAAATGATTCTGTGGTTCCTTGATCTCCATCCCAGCCCTGTCCTGTAGCCCAAATGGTGAACAGCCAGTGGCAGGGAACGATTTCTGGAAGGTAAATGCCATGCTTTGGACACGTCCACCTTACTGAACCCTCCTGCCTTGCAAAACACGACGCTTTGCTTTTCCAGCCTGCTGGCCAGGAGTGATCCAGGCTGAACCTGCCTTCTGATGGATGTTTGGGAGAGAAACAGCTGCTCTGGGCCTGAAAAGGGTCATGGATTTGACAGGATAAATCCTCAGATCCTGCTGTGCTTTTCCTCTGTCACTGCTTTCCAGACACACGGCCTGCAGGGCCTGAAGGAGGGACTGAGACCTGTTTTGTCCCACTCATTCCACTGGAAGCAGGGAATTCTCCTATGGACACAGGCTGGGAGAGCTGGGGGGGGTTCACCTGGAGAAGAGAAGGCTTCAGGGAGAGCTGAGAGCCCCTTGCAGGGCCTAAAGGGGCTCCAGGAGAGCTGGAGAGGGACTGGGGACAAGGGATGGAGGGACAGGACACAGCGAATGGCTTCAAACTGAAGGAGGATAAATTTAGCTGGGATATTGGGAAGCAATTGTTGGCTGTGAAGGTGGGGAGGGCTGGAATTGAATTCCCAGAGAAGCTGCGGCTGCCTCTGGATCCCTGGAAGTGTCCAAGGCCAGGTTGGAGCACCCTGGACTAGTGGAAGGTGTCCCTGCCCATGGCAGGGGGTGGGAACTCAATGATCTTTAAGGTCTCTTCCAACCCAAACCATTCTGGGATTCTATGATTCCAATGGCTTTGTGCAGCACCCCTTTCCCAAGGCATTTTCTCCCTTCCTTCCCAGCAGTGAGAGGGGGATCTGGAGTCAGGCTCAGCCCATTTCTCCCAACTCAGGACTGGATGGGTCAGCAGCTCTGTTCAAAGTGTGCCAGACTTGCTGCCTGAAGCCCAGAAATGCTCAAATTTAGGGCAACGCTCCCAAAATGCTGCAGCCAAAGGTTTGCTCCCAAATGAACCACCCTCAGTTCAGCACAGCTACACTGGGGCATCATCATCCTCAAGGAAAAAATCCCCCAATATCCAAATGCAATCTTCTATTTATTTTTATAGGGTCCAGTTATTTGTACAACTGAGTCCCCTACTGGCTTCCCTTAAAAGGCAGGATCGAATCCACAGTAGCTTCCACAAATCGGGAAGAACAGGCCCTTTCAGGTGCAAAAAAAAAAAAAAAAATAAATAAAATATTAAAAAATAAATAAAGGCGACATTTATCACCGGGGACTGTAAATATGCTGTTCACAGCCTAAGCTCCTTGGGGCTGGGCAGGAATAAGGCCAGGCTTAACTTTCAGCATGCACTTAAGTCTCATTAGGGTGCTTAAAGGCTTTCCTGACCACGGGCGCTTTCCTGGGCCGGGGGTGGAGCAGGGGATGTCTGTCTGCTCCTCGTGGGGACAACGGGGGCCTTCTCTGGGCTGGCACCTCCAAAGGCAGCAGTAATATAAGAAAGCATAAATAATTAAACACAGGGCCCCACTCAGGCCCAGCTCTGCCTACAAAGCCACATTTATAAGGAATGCACCCTGCTCGGCAATCCCTGGGATTGGGGGCACTGCAGGGAAAATACCTGACCCCTGCACTGGGAATGTGGGGAGCTGAGGGCTTGGGGAGGTGAGGATTTCATGGAACAGGCACCATCTCTTTCCTCCTCACCCTTATTCACCTATCAATGAAAAATAGTTGCACAATCCAGACTGAGCTACCAGAGGCTTAAATGTGTTTAATTTTGCTGATATTCCCGTTTATATCGATGGGAAAGTGCTCATGTTGAGAGGCTGACAAGCCTGTCTGGGAGATATTGGATATTCACCCTCTAGAGTGAAGATTGAGATTTGAAAGATGGATTGTTTCAGAGATTTGTGTGTATTTGACATGAATTTGTTCCCCTCAAGCCTGTCCTGCCCTTCACAAGAGACACTGTTCCCATTCCCACTAATCCTGTGCTTTGTTTGAGGGTCCAGGCAGCAACAAAATACCCAGGAGAGAAGAGTTACCCCTAAAAAATCCCCCTGTGTGCATTTATTGTGCTGCTGCCTCGCCCTGTGCAGGCAATTTAGGAAAAGGATCCTGGAGATTTTCTGCAAAGCCCATGGAGTGAATTCCTGGCACCCGGTTTATTGCTACATTTGTCTTTCTGTATCCCTTCCATTGTTCTTTTTTTTTTTGCACTTTTGAAGTGTAAATGTCCCTAAATTTACAGGAAGTGGCTGGAATCCTCTCCCTCCCTTTCCTCTGCCTCGTGTTTTGTTTCTTGGTCGGTGTGACATGGAACAGTTGGGCTGGCAGGTAATTCCTAGTTCAGCCTTTCCCTTCCCCTGACAAGCGAAACTTTCAATGGGAAAAGTCATGGAATCACAGAATTGGTGAGGCTGGAAAAGACCTCCAAGATCATGGAGTTCAACCATCCCCAGCACTGCCAAGGCCACCACTGCCCATGTCTCCAAGTGCCACATCCACAGGGCTTTGAAATCCCTCCAGGGATGGGGATTCCACCTCTGCCCTGGGCAGCTGTGCCAGGGCTGGACAGCCCTTCCCAGGAGGAATTTTCCCAGTATCCATCCTGAGCCTCCCCTGGCACAGCCTGAGGCCGTTCCCTCTCCTCCTGTCCCTTGTTCCCTGGGAGCAGAGACTGATTCCACCCTTCTCCCCCCTCCTGTCAGGGATTTGCAGAGCCAGAAGGTCCCCCCTGAGCCTCCTTTTCTCCAGGCTGAGCCCCCCCAGCTCCCTCAGCTGCTCCTCATCACACTTGTGCTCCAGAAAGAGCAAAAACCTTGCCTCCAACATCTCCTCTGTTTCCAGAGGGTCATGACTGACCTCTTGGTGTCTCCACTTGAAATTCCTGGTGTGTGATGCCCCAAGACTGACAATCCCTCCTGCTGAGCACTCACAGTTCCCACTGATGGGACAACCATTAAAAGTCAGGCCTGAGGTCCTCAGAGATCCCCACAAACAGCAGGAGAGCCAAGAGGCTGCGGCTCAGGAGAGTCATCCATGGATAAATCCATCTGGCCGAGCCACCAGAGAAAGGAATGTCCAAAAATCCTGTGATCTCCTGGGGGCTGTGAGTGCAGAGAGAGGCAGGGATGGATGGAAGGGTGGGTGGGTGGATGGATGAATGCATGCATGGATGCATGGATGGGTGGAATGAGAGAGGGATGGATGGATGGATGGATGGATGGACGGATGGATGGGTGGATGGATGGATAGGTGGATGGGTGGATGGATGGGTGGATGGGTGGATGGGTGGATGGATGGATGGGTGGATGGATGGATGGATGGGTGGATGGGTGGATGGATGGATAGGTGGATGGGTGGATGGAT